CTGTTTCCCATCAGCAGAAAATAAATACTTTAGTTCTTGAATCTTTTTTTCTGTCACTATGTAGTACTAAAGTGGTTTTTTTTTTTTTTTTAATAATTGGCTAACTCTTCGTGGAGTATTAGTGATATTTTTGTTTACATTTATTTTTCTAAACATTTAAAATTATTTTCAAAATATTTGCAAAGTCAGACTATATTCTAAAATTACTAAATTGCATTGAAGACTAAAAGGATATTAAAAAGTACACACAGTAATGTCTAGCAATAAATGTTTAAAATATGAGTTGTGTGCCTTTCTGTTCTTGCCAGAGTACAGAAAGGAGACCTCAGATTTGGGAAAAAAATGTGATTAAACCTTCCTTATGCTTCTCAGCCTTTGGATTATCTGGGAATTAATGTAGTCCCAGCCTATTAGCAGTGCCCTGAATGGTGCTGATAAATTGTGTCAGATGGAAGTTTCTGTTGTCTAATATACCAAACATTGATTAGAAGTAATCTTATTAGGCTAAACTTTCCTAAACATGTTAAGCCCTGTTTGAAGTCCTATGCTATTATAAGCAGGAAAGTATTCCTTGGTTTCATCTCCCACATACCCCCCACCCTACTATTCTTTGCAGAGACTGGTGCCTCATATTGTCTCTAAAATGATCTAGAACCTATGCATCCAATCTGGGTTCTGAGTTGTGTAGGGAGTTAACATATGTTGATGAACTTCCTACTACAGGGCTTTGATTTTTCCAGATGTGGACACAACCAGTGGTAGGTGAGGAAAAGCTAGGCATTCATTGGGAGCACAAGTTGAAGGGATCAGCAATGTTTTACAACAATTGAGATAATTTTTGTGAAACAGTGGCACTATGATTAAGGGGAATGTCTGGCCACCATCCTACAGTAGCAAAATCAAACAGTACGTTTCTTTGATTATTGTCTTTATTTTTATACTCCAGTGATGCTGGTGAATATGGGTAAAAAAGGAAATTAGATGCAACATCTTCAACAGCAAAGGTTTATATGAAGGTTTTGGTTTGTTGTAAACTATTTCCTCTTTCTATTTCTAGTAAACTTAGAATTTCTAGAATCAAGGCAGGATGTCTCCAGCTCAAATGTGTCTATCTTACTGTTTAATGTTCACTGGCAATTGCTTGAATTGGTTCATGCTTTGTGGAATTCCATTCTACTTAAACATGTCCTCTGTGTGTATGTAGTCTTGCATCAGTTCTTTGGAATTGCTTGTGATTAAATAAAGAGACAGATCTTCACTTGTATCTGGAAGTTTTATATTTTAATTATATTTTAACCTCAACATGAGTCAGAATAACTAGCAACATTCCTAGTGACCTCTTGGACATAGCCATGTAGTATACTAGGCAACACAAATGGTTTGTCATTGCCTTTTTCAGCATGTTATTTTTTTCTCAATTTTCCAGTCTAGTTTACATCTCTGGCATTATCTAGCGGTGTTCTGTCTAAATACTAACAAGGCCTAGACCCACTTCAGGCCCACCCATTTGTTTCTATATTTCCCACTTTTTCCTTCTTTCTAGTTTCATTTGGCAACAAATAATATTTGATGAGGTATAATTGTATAACTTTAATGCCATATTGCTTTTTTGGGGGGGGGTCTGAATTTCTACTTAAGGAATTCTATGGGTTAATATATTTTCTATAAGATATTTACTTTTGAGATACAGTGCAATGCCCCTCCAATACATTTATTTTTCTACTGCAGTCTACTCTGGAATAACAATACATTTCATTGTTTTTCATTGTTCTACCAGATTTCTCATTTGCCTCTTGTATCTGTATTATTTTACTTATAGACACTCAATAAGTATTGGTTTATAAGCTTTATCTATCAGCTTATTTGTGCAATTGTTCATGCAAGTAGACTGCTTGAGGGCATTTATTTGTGTGAATGAATTAGCAGATGTATTACTGAAACAATCTCTGTTTTGCTGTTTTGGCATTTGCACGCAACACTCTTTTGCCCCTGATTCTATTTGTTTAACTATTCCTTGTGTGGGGGAAAAAAAATCTTTCTTTGTTTCTAGCATTTACTAATTTCTACTTGCAGTACATTGGTTTTGCTGGCTAACCAAAATTATTCTTACCAAATGTTGCCTTTTTCCTGGTCCATGTCTTAATTTCTAGCACTGTTCTCCAGCTCAGAATGTGGAAATAGGAAGAAGAGGAGAAAGCTTTGTCCCATTTCAAATATGATGGAAGGAAATAGGCTTGCTATGTTCTGCACCTTAGGAGGCACTGGTCATGGGACATCCATCAGATTTGGAATGATATTTGCTTATTTCCACCTCTCAAACAGCTTTTAGCTCCAAGACAAAGACAAGCAATCACTTCTCTTGGAGCACCTACAAAGTTTCTGAGACAAGTCTACATGTCTTCCTCTCTATTGCCTCAGCTCTGAGCTGGAGTCAGAAAGCAGAAGTGAACTAGTTGCAAATAGGTGTTCGAAACTCAGATTCCTTGTTAGGTGCTGAGGAGAACCTGTGTGTCTGTATCTCTTCCATTCTAGCTGGGGATGAGACTTTTTATGGGTCTGTATTGACATTGGATAGGTCAAGTGGCAAACCAATTTCCCAACTTCGAATAAAGTATAATTGGAGTTTTGTTCTTAACAACAGGGTGAAAATAATAAAAATAATTTTTAAACTAAAAGGTAGAAATTAGAGACAAAAAATAGTGCCAAGATTAGAAAGGACTACAAATACAAAGAGAAGAATTGAAGAAGACAGAAAATAAGAATAAATAAAATATGAGATCAGGAAAGAACAAAAACAGAAGGGGGAAACTTAAAAAAAAAAAAATAGAGGGAGAATGCTTCCCAGCCTATCCATTGCCACCAGAATAGAACCACAATCCATGGCAACCATGCATAGGTCAGCTATGTCAGTGTGGCAGAATTTTACATAGTGTTTTGTCACTTTTTTTTTTTTTTTTGCATTTTTCTTAATTCAGGCATTTTGCTTTTTAAATATATTGTGTCTTATACATAGCTTTGGCCAATATACACTTTTAAAAACATACATTATCCCTGGTTTACATTTTTATAGTGCAAGAAAGCTGTCTACAATGTAGGCTTTTAAAAAATGCGCAGGTTCCCAAGCACCTTCAGTGCATCTCCCCTACTTTCTAACCGTGGGTAACCCAAGCTAGTTCTGGCCCTAAGTATGATGGTATTGTAGTAGCTGATTTAGGAGGGGATGTAAATGAAGAGATATAACAATTAATGCACTGCATTGTAGTTAGAAACAACAGAAAGCCAAATATATAAAAATCAATAGTGGGGCGATTAGATAAAGAATGAACAAGGAATAAATAGAAGCAGAACCCAAGATGTACAAACAGTGCATGAGAAGGAGAAATGGTTTCCCCTGCCTCTTTGGCAAACCAGGTATAATCAACAGGCTCAGTATTCCTGTTAAGATCCTGGTGGTAGTAGAGCTATAGATCTTTGCAGCGTTGTTGTCTGCTGTATAGAGACCCCTTACATATAAAGCACTTCCTCATTCCTCTTTTCAGTGTGTCTGATAAGGATGCTATATGCACAGTTGCTTCCCTTCTTAAAAGACTTTTGGGCATGCTTATCCTTTCCTTCCTTCCTTCTGATGGTAATAGTAGGGCAAAGCTGGAGTTATCCAACCTACTGCATCTAGCTGATGGGAAATTTTGTTTCTTCTATCTGTTTAGCTAGCACCAACATTCTCCTTGAAGCATCATTCCCCTAGATGAAAATCCTTATGTTGTTCTGGTCTTGTAAGCCTTTGAATCTGTTTTGTGAATTACTCTTCTTAGCTGTTGGATGAATATTGATCAACACATCATATTTGCCGAACTGAACATATGTTCTCTCTAACTGATCTTTATGAAACAAATTGCATATATATGTTATGGCTCTCAAACATAGATGAGAGGAAACTGTAGTTCTTTAGTGGAACCAGATATATTTATCATAATAATTGTCAGATTTCGGACAAAACTATAGATTCTGCAGTTCCTTCTTGGAAGGTAGGGGAAGTCATAAGAGTTAAAGCAACATAATATCTAATAATCCCACATCAATTCAAATTTAGGTTACTTACCATTTCTTATGCTACTTCCCATATGGAGAAAGTTTTGAGCATTTCATGTTCAAAACTTTTTGAACATCTGAACATTTTATTTGGTTAGTTAGTTTATACATTTTAGGACACATGTTTAAAATTATCACCTTAGTTCACAAAGATCAAAGCTTTTGAAAGATGAACAAAGATCCTACATGTAAATCCCTGTAGTTATGCTTCTTCAAGAAGTGCCCAATAGCTATGTTCTGCATTAGGGTTAGGGTTGTAGTAGTCTTAAATATAGTGAGAATAACGACAGGATGTTTAAGCCATGGTCTCTTGCTCTTCCACTTCTCTCTACTCTTCTTGCCTTTTAATTGCTTCAGCTCTTGATTAATTGCTTTGTTGCAAAAATAATAGCAAGACTGGAACAAATTGAACAATATTGAAGCCAAAAGAAGCAAGCAGATATCTAAATGGCAGAGAATAAGAACTAACATTTTTTTTTTTTTCTGATCATGAACTAGTGGTGAAGGTCTAACCCACTCCTTCTTTTCCAAACACATTGCTTTGTTCACAGTATTCTGTTGTCTTCCGCCCAGGCAGTTGTTCTTGCAATCCAAGACAGAATTATTTTTGGAGTAAAGGATTGATTGCTGTTGCTTATATTGAGTTAGTTGGGTTTTCTGTCTGGGAAGTAAGATGGATATTGAATTCCAGTTATGGTCCCTGAATTTAGATAAAATAAACCCTCACTTTGACCTATCTGATAAGTCCACCTAGAATTCTTGCTCTCTAAGGCACATATTATTTCAAGCCTGCATGCAATCTGAAAACGTTTTTAGCTTATTTTTAGAGGAGGGAAAAGGAATTAGGAAAATCTATGCTTAATTCACTAGAAAACAAATAATTTTATTCTGTTTCTGATCTTCATTTATAGCACCAGCAACAAGTGGTGCAGGCTGTGGAACGTGCCAAGCAAGTGACCATGGCAGAACTGAACGCAATCATTGGGGTATGTGGTCTTTCCATTTTAGCTTTAATAGTCTTTTAAAAACTAGTTCACATTCTTTTTCCCCCAAAACAATGTTTTTTGTTGTTTAGTCCTCTTAGATAATAGTAATAATAATAATGCATTGGATACCAATGGACCTAGCAATCCAGTTACATTGCACTGCTGCGCTTGCAGCTAATTGGCCTTTTGTTCATACATCGCCTGGACAGTTGAGACTTTTTGACTTCACTTTGCAATCAGGACTGCCATTGACCAGGTCTCACATTTCCCCAAGCTGCATTTCACAAATGAGCATAAATTCGGAAAATGACTATTAATTTGATACTGATCTACAACACGGAGGTTGTTGGCTAGATGTCTATCTAAGATTATATGAAAGAATTATTTTCACCTCCTTTATTCACCAGAGGTGTCCCCTTTCATGAGCAGTGCACGGTATCAGCTGTGATATCAATCTGGAATGCAGCAGTTTGAACATGCAAATGCATCCGTAGTGGAAAATCAGTGCATAAAATAAAGGACTTGCAGAAGCCTTGTGTCTCTCCTGTTCTGCATTTAATAATCTATTTATTTTTCAAATTGAAATCCATTGCTCAAGCCAAAACCCTCAGGGTGGCTAACAGTAAAAATTCCAGGTCAAAGCATGATGAAACATTAACGCAAGTCAACATCTCCTAAGAGGAACAAACTATCAACCACAGCAAATACATCTGTGTATCTTGGCCCTCAGATCAGATTATTTTTTAGCTCACCCACACAAGTTGTTTATGGTTGGGGATGCCTTTGGTGAATGAAGAAAAAGTCCAGAAATAACATCTGTGCAGGATCTTTAATGCATTTCAGACAGGGTTCCCCAAACATGCTATATTCTGTGTGTCTGACAATTTTCACAAGGTGTATTAAACATACACAGAAGAAAAATTAGAACATGGACCTTAGAAGGAAGTATTTGATGTGTTTAAAAAATCAGGAGCAATGATCCTAAGCCCGTTAGGCTGTTAGTAGTTGGGCTGCCTTATCAGAATGTTGCAGGAAAACTTATTGCAACTTTGAATTATATTCCTTTATTTATCTGGAATCATACAATTAAGTATTTTAACTTATCCCCCATCACAATGAGGCCTTGATGGCCTCTTGTCAGTTGGCATGATACTGGTCTTTCTGTATAGCTGGGTTAAGCTGCTGTAAAATAATTATATTCTGAACTGTACAGCCACATCTAGTGGGCTTTGGGTTGGAGAACCTATGCATGTGTGCATGTGTGTGTGTGTATGTGTGTATACATGCACACACACATATACATATGAACTTATGTGTGAGTGTGTGTATGTGTATGTAAGCTTTCTTGCAATTTCAGTTACTTGCATTTGAAAATTTCATCCAAATCAGGAGCATGCAGTTTGTCAGCTGAAGGGCCACATCTACTTTTGTGCAGCAGGTTGAAGGTTGCACTCCTAAAATGGGCAGAATAAAAGCCTGTTTTGTGAGAAGTGGGTGCCAGATATTTCAAAGGATAAAATGGATGTCTTAAGCATTTGAAAATCTTAAAGTACCTGTTTTGTTCCTTTAAATGTCTTCAGAGCCAGAAAGTGCAAATAACAAAAAACGTTTGGGCCCCACCCATTTTGGAGGGGTTCTGGGGTCCATGAAGGGGATGTTGAAGGACTGCATATGTCCTAGAGGCTTACACAGTATATTCAATATAGCACAAGAAGCCACAGACCACAGGAGAAATCAGTTCATGCAGAACATTGTTCACTTGTACCCAGAACTTTGGAGACAGCTTGAAATTGCCATCCCATGGAGAAATATTTGGACATTTCATTGAAAATTATCATTTTTCATCTGAAGTAAATGGTCTTGAGAACTGACATATCACGCACTATACTTCTTAATGTTCATTTGCCATTATGTTTGAATTGACTTTTGATTGTTTAAGAACTCGTAGGTTTAATTTTAGGATCAACTGGGACAAGATTTTTAACCTTCTAATTATATATTAAATTTAATGTAAAATGTTATTGTTCCAATGTGACCCAAAAATCTTCCTTCTCTGTATGGAGCAGAGAAGCAGTATTTAGCTGATACAGCTAGTCCTTGCTTAATGACCATTCATTTAGCAACTGTTCAAAGTTGCAACGGCCTGAAAAAAGTGACCTATAACCAGTCCTCACACTTATGACCATTGCAGTGTCCGTGCAGTCACATGATTGTGATTCAGGCACTTGACAACCATCACGCATTTACAATGGTCACAGTGTCCCAGGGTCACGTGATTACCATTTGTGATCTTCCCAGCCAACTTCTGACAAGCAAAATCAATGGGATAGCCAGCAGGAGGTTGCAAGTCGCAAACACATGATGTTTTGCTTAACGACTGTGGGTGGTTCACTTAAAAACCGCAACTGGGACTGCCATCCCTAAGCAGGATGGTCACATGATGTTTTGCTTAACAACCACTTCGCTTAATGATGAAGTTGCCAGTCCCAATTAGCGTAGATAAGCAAAGACTACCTCTATGGGAGCAACACTGAATACCCATTCTTAGTTTTTTTCTTTATATTGTGTAACTCACTTCTAACAAACTGATAAAGCAGATATTCAGAAGAACCATAAAATACAGGTGAGAAAAATCAATAATAGCCAATGATTGATGCTTGTTATTATTCAGTTAGAGTAGGCTGTTGTTTAAGTTAGTATAATGAAGACCATAGCATTGTACCTTCCTTTTTTCTCCCTGCTTGTAAGTGTCTTTTCCCTTTTCCATACAGAATATACAGAAAAGTCACTCTTTTAGAAAATGCAGCATATCAAACACACTTTGAAATGCTAATTATTCCATTTACTTTCATTAAAATTCAAATTGTTGAGTGAAGATGTGGATAAGAGTTGCCGAATAATCAATCTGTTGTGAAGATATTCTTTCATTTATGCTTCTTACTTTTAACAAGAAAATAGGAGTGCTCTCTGATAATTGCCAACAATACTGAAAAGGGGGGACTTGTTTTTCTTAATAAGCTGTTTTGAGGACTTTTTCCTATCCTTCTGACCACAAGAAAATATCAGCAGTCAATTAAAAAATATAAATGAGGGAAAGTAACCTTTATTTCCTCTGAAGTGCCCCTTAGAAAGAAGAGGGTGAATCAGACAGAGTAGGTTGTATAGAATCATGAATAACATTTGTTGTATGTCTTTTACATTCCAATAGGGAGACCAGAAGATGAATAATTTTCCAATTAGTTTTCATTATATAATAAAACTACCACTATCTAAATATTATTTGAATAAAATGAATTACTAAATGTCATTTTAATGTAATTCTTTTCAGCATAAGTTATGAAAGTGCAAGCTTAGCTTCACTCTGACTGTTAGGCATTAAAATTAAAATAACTGGACATTGTTTTAATCAAGGAGTCTGCAGGGTATGGTCTTGGATGTATATAGTTTGGTATGTTTTCATATGAAAATTATGCTTTAGAATCAGTTACCATGTTCTCTAAACGGTGTCAGTAAGTCTATCTATTCTAGCTGATATCCCAAAAACTGATTTTGGAAGTAGTTAAGTTTTAGACTCACCAGTTAGGGTAGACTTCCCTAACCTGCTGCTCTTCAGATTCGATGTACAATACCTTACTGGTATCTGGAAAATTGTGGAAATTGAAATCCAGCATATCTGCTGGCCTTTGGGTTGGAGATGATGTTCTACTTGGCATGTATATATGTATAAATCAAGGGGAAAAAAAAAATCCCAAAGGACATTTAATTATGCTATGAATTTTCCTAAATATCTATAACCAATGATATTTCATTTGAACATCGCCTTGAGCTTATTTTCTTTATCCAGGAAAGCAAGATGTAAAAGATATAAATAAGAGGTGTGGGTAAGGTTTTAAAAAGTATAGTCCTATATAGATAAAAATGTATGAAAGAAAGATACAGAGCTAATTGAGGATTTGTATAAAAGAATTCTACCATGTTTGAATGTGTATTTATAGTATACTATCGATCCTTCATAGTCTCATGTTAAAATTTCATGAAATTCAATGAAACACCTTGTTAACTATGCAATATTCTTCCTTCTTTGGTAAATGAAGCAAACCACTGATCCATGCTATTTAAATGTGGAATGCCAAAGCGAACTTGAAATATGGAGAGACGGGGTTGTTCACTTGACAGTAAACTAGTTGTGTTTAATGGAATGAAACACTTATAATGACTTCTTTCGCAGGTTATGTTCTGTTGAAAATTACTGACAGATTGACACAAGTTAAATATTAGCTGTTCTTACATTTTTTGTATTTTGGGGAAGAAAAATGATTGGAGGCTGGCTTTGAGATGAAGGCAACAGTTATTGGTAAAAACGTAGCAATTGTCATTACAATAGAAGCTATTTTGTTCTACGTCAACACTGTCTATAGAGTCACCAGGAATAAAGCTCAACTTGAGGTGGTCTTCATGATCAGGTTAGATGTGTAATATTAGTGTTTCTCTTCTTTTGTTTCTTCACATTTTCAGAACAGTGTATATATAATTATTTGATTTTGAGTTTTCCTTGATATAGAAGGATTTTTTTTTTTGCTCACAAAAAAGTTGGCCATGCAGAAGAGACTTGCCAGGATAAATTAGGAATTTTTTTTATTATTGGTTCCAAGTCTACTAGTTCCTCTGTTCTGGGGAGTTCCATAAATCCTAGGATTAAATGGTGCAGTCTGAAGAGAGAATTATGGAAAACTACTTCACAGGATTAGGCTTGTAATTGTAACATTGCTGTAGATCCCATTATAGCATATTAATTGATTGTGATCAAACATTAGTAAAGTTTTACACTTATTAAAAGCAATGGGATCAGCTAGTCTCATTTCTTTGATTATGCCTTAGGAAAAGAAAGATGACACACTATTGGAATGGTACACATTGTATCGTTTTAAATCAGATTTTTTTTTTAATTTAAAATGAGCTGGAGTTTTTGTGTAAGTGTGTGTTTAGTGTTTTCTACAGAA